GGGTTTGAACCGCCAGCAGTCTGGTTAGCAGGCAAGTGTCTTAGCCACTATGCTACCAGAGCTCCCATGCTATGTATTAGGCCCCCTAAATTTGCCCCTAGTTTTTCCTTGAGGAACTGTAGAGCTTTAGGTTTCACATTTAAATCTTTGATCCATCTGGAGTTAGTTTTTGTGTATGGTGTGAGGTACAGATCTAGTTTAATTTTTCTGCAAATGGATAACCAGTTTTCACCAGCACCATTTGTTAAAGAGACCATCTCTTGCCCATTGAGTGGATTTCAGCCCTTTGTAAAAGATCAACTGACCATATGTCGATGGATCTATTTCTGGGTTCTCAATTCTGTGCCACTGCTCTGTGTATATTCACTAAATCATTTTAAAAAAAATGGGAAAATGTAGGGGGAAGGGAAACAACCTTAATTCAGATATCCCACCCAATAATAAAATATGTTCATCTGATGAATTCCTGTCCCCTGGTAAAGTCCCTATATTCTCTTTCTCTCTCTTTTTTTTTTTTTTAAATGTTATTGTGATAAGTATAAGAAAACATTTGACATTTTAACATTTTTTACATGTACAATTCAGTGACATTATGTTTATCATGTTGTACAACCATCCCCACCCTCCATTTCCTAATTTTTCTATCACCCTCAACAGAAACTCCTTGCCCCCTAAGCAGTGACTCTTTCTTTTTCCTACATTCTCATTTTCAAGAAATGTTTCCTGACACTCAGACCAAGGAGTCCTGTGATATCTATCCCATCCATAAACTTTTATTTCATACCTATTAGACACCAAGGGAGCTCTGGTAGCATAGTGGCTAAGGCACTTGACTGCTAACCAGAAGGCTGGCGGTTCAAACCCACCAGCCGCTCCTCGGAAGGAAGATGGGGCAATCTACTTCCGTAGTGATACTGCCTTGGAAACCCAAGGAGGGGTCGCTATGAGTCGGGTCCAACTCGATGGCACATAACAACAACAACAACAACAAGACACCAAGGATCTCTGGTAGCATAGTGCCTAAGGCATTTGACTGCTAACCAGAAGGTTGACGTTTCAAACCCACCAGCCACTCCTCAGAAGGAAGGTTAGGCAACCTACTTCCCTAGTGATACTGCCTCGGAAACCCAAGGAGGAGTCGTTATGAGTCTGGTCTGACTTGACAGCACATAACAGCAACAACAACAACGTTAGACACCAGGCACTATTCTAGGTACAGGAGTTATCAAGATGCATAAGAAACCAACCTTCACTACAAGGCTCCTATGGTAACGGGGGAGGGAGACTTACATGTCACATGCCATACTACTACTCTTACCCTCTGTCAAATATGAGTGAGATGCCCTGGCATAGGAAAGGAATGAGAACTTAATAATCTCAAGGTCAAGGATCCCCTTACAAGGCAGGAAACATTTGACCTGAGCCTTGGAGGATGAAGTGTGGAAGAAAGTTGTCCAGTGTGGCTAGAGCACTGGGTACATGGAAGAAGTGCATGTGAGATGAACTTGGAAATGTAGCTTGAGTCCTGTCAAGGAGTGGGCTTAAAAACCAAGCCAAGGAATTTGAAATTCACGCATTATTTAAAGCAGAAACATTCAAGATGCTTTAAACAGCAAAGTAAAATTTTAAGACCTGTGTTTTTAAAAAATTAACTTTGGTGAATGAAGGATAGATGGGTTGGAAAGACTAAAGTCAGAGGTTAATACTTAGGGTACTTCTTCAATGGGCCTGTAGGTACGTTGCATTTCTCTTAAAACATTTGATACATCATTTTTTTTATGATTAGAGTTAATTTGTGCATTTAGCTGTTTAATCAACAATAATTCTTCCTAAAGCTGGACCGTGAATGAGATGTTAAAGGAAAGGATTTAGTAGCAACTGCTCTTATCTGACCAAACAAAAAACCAAACTCAGGGCTGTCAAATCAGATCCAACTCATAGCGACCCCTCCTTGGGTTTCTGAGGCAGTATCACTAGGGAAGTATATTGCCCAACCTTCCTTCTAGCTAGCAGTCAAATGCCTTAGGCACAAATAACTACTGAGTACTTGCAGTCTTCTTTCTCTAATTCTTTACATATGTTAAGGGAGATAGGACATTAGCAAACATTAAAACATTAACAGTGTGTATATTTAAAATCATAATAGTCATAGTGCATAATCATCATTTTGAGTTTATAGCTAAACGCATGTGCTTTGCTAAGCATGTAATATATGTTTTAACTCACTTAATACTTTCACTATGTGGTGTGAGCCCCACTTTATAGATAATGCTGTAGCTTGGACAATTTAACCTGCCAGAATCACATAGCAAGTAAAGGAATTTGATATTCTAAACAGAACTTCCTTATACCCTCTTCTCCTTTGGTCTCTCCCATGTTGGCCTTTTTCTGTACCCTTTTTTATACCTTTATCAGGAAAAAAAAAAAAAAAAAAAACCCTAACACCTAGAATATTCTTCTTCTAGATCTTCACAAATTGCCTCTTAAGGTCTTAGCTTAAATGTCTTCTCAAAGAAGCCTTTTTTGATCATCCTATCTAATGTTGCACATTTTTCTGTTTTACTTTCTTCATAATATATCATTGTTTGAAATTATTTATTTACTTGTTTATTTTCTGTTCCTCCCACTCGAGTGCAAATTCCATGAGACAGAGTAGTTTATGTGCCTTATATACTTCTGTATTCAGAGCATTAGAACAGTCTCAGGATCTTAATACACATTCAGTAATTTTTCAAGAGCTGGATAGGTGAATGAGTAAATAAATGTCTCCAAGGCTCATGCTTAATCTCTGGGCCTATCTTCTGAAGGTGTTTATTCTTTCTGCTACCTAGTATACTGGAGGAAAACTGGATGACAACAACAACAATGCAACGCACTACCGTCAAGTCAGACCCGACTCATAGCAACCCCTCTCTGGGTTTCCGAGGCTGTTTCACTACGAAAGTAGATTACCCAACCAACCTTGCTTTCGAGGAGCGCATAACTCCTCAGAGTGTTTATTTGAGATCCAGGCTGATTAACTTTTTAAAACCAAATATTTACTGAGAAAACATACCCACAGATTATTTTCTTTTTCATTTGTTAAGATTATTTAATTGTATCTAAAGCTTACAGTTCATGTATCGTACCTACAATGTGTGATTAGTTTAGATGTGAAAATTTTGGATAAATTATTTTTAGAATGTTATCTTCTCTTTTTGCATTCATGTTGACTGATTTCTGTAGGAGAATATTGGGATTTCCATAAAACAAAAATTGTTCCTGGCTGTTTTGATTTGTTTAAAGCACTAGAAGTTTAAACATATATAGTCTGTTTCAATGAGTTCATATTATCTCCACACACAAAATAACAGCCCTGAGAGGATAAATTCTTTCAATTTTTTTTTCTCAAACTACATTTTTCTTTAGTGGTTTCAGATTGGCCTTTTTGGAAGTGTAATTTTCCTTTTGTCTTGCTGGTATCTGAAGCGACTCACTTTGTCACTAGCATATTAACCTCTTCTTTTCTCACAACTCCATTTATCTAGGAATAGCTTGCTGATTAATTCCTAAGTTAGAGAAGGTGGCCTGTGAAGGAATTTTAAGTACATTTCTCAGTGTTCTGTAAAGCGGTTGATCATAGCTCAGTTAATTAACTTTGTTAAAATGGTATAGGGACTCATATGATTCTAAACTACAGAAGAAACGTAACAACTCAAAATCAACCTACCCTTTACCTTTATCCCTGCCTTCTCCACAAAGTATGGTGTAATGCCAATGAACAGAGTTGTGGTTGACAAGCAAAATTTTAAGGCATTCTCCGTATCACTGGTTGGTTTAATAAAATTAATTAGCCTGCCACGGAGAAAATTTACTAGCGTGCTGGTTAATTTCACAGTGTAAAGTTGGAGAAGAGAGGTAGGGTTGAGGGAACAAACTTTATTAGTTTTGAATAATTATTTAAAGATGTGGACTTTGCCCATTCCAAACATCTTTGATAGTCAAAGCCATTATGGCTTTAAAATCTCAGTGTTTGTGCCCCAATACATATGGGAAGGAATCTTCCTAAATGAAATCATATGCATATTAAGTAATAGCTCAGTGACTTATTTGAGATACAGAACAACAAGAATCCTAATAAAACCATGGGAAAGAGAAGTTGCCTTAAGACTCGCTCATGGGAGGTTTATATAATCTTAATTTGCCATTGATCCAATTATTGCTTTTTCTTGTCTTTTTAATCCAAACAAGATGTTTGCAGTGGCCATGGAAAGGTACCTAAAATCACATGCTTGAATTCATTTAATTTGCGAACATTGTCTTCTCTCTCTCTCTCTCTCTCTCTGTCTCTCTGTCTCTCTTCCTGGTAATGGGCAAGAGTCGCTTCTGGTACATTAGGTACTAAATCTCTTCAATTACCAGCTGGGAAGAAAGATTTAAAATTGTGCTTCAGACTTACAAACTGATTTAGTTTAAAAGCACAAACACTTCTCCTGCGGAGCCTAAATTAAACTGCAGAAAGGACACAGAACTTGAGGAATTAAACAAGGCAGGGCCAAGGCTCAGGCCAGCAATAGGAACCGTTTTGGTTCCTTTCATTTGTGCCCCCTGATGTGAAAGGAAAGGGAGTTGGAACATGCTGAAAGGCACAACTTGTGTAAGAAAGTGTGATATTATATTGCTTGGAAGCTAGACTTGGATAAAGTGTTGATATGAGGAGTCTAATCAAATCCCTTTTCCTTTTCCCTTCTTCTTTTTGGGTGCTCGGCAGCTATTTTCAACGTGGATGACTCTGTGGTCGATCTGGAAACACTGGCGGCCTTGTATGAAAACGTGAGTGTTAAAGACGTACAAAGCTTAAGTTTCCATATTTCCATATCTTTACCAATAAAAAATGTTAAGTCTAAAAAATGATTCTGTGTGACTCCTTCTACCTGAAAAAGTCACTGAGCCATTCATATTCTTCAGTGGTAAGAATTGTGACCTTGCATAAGAGATTATGGCATGGAAACACAAGTTTGAATGAGATTAGACATGAAAAAATGCTAGGTTCCTAGCTGCCACTGTGGATCTGGGTTAGTAAATGCCCTTGCACACCTACAGGGGAAAGTGGTTCAAGATGGAGACCACGTGTGTGCCATGGAACCCAGCCCTGTCACTTACTATCAGAGTTAATGGACTTGCTTAATGTCAGTGTATACCCATGTGTCACTTTGAGGAGGAAGAGTGTTAATACCAGCTTGGATGATTACTTCAAATCAAATAAGCTGATGGCTTGAATGTGAGAAGCAGATTAGGATAGTGGTGTGTGTTTGGGATCTTAGATCTGAAGTCCAGCTCTACTATTATCTGCTGAGTGACATTGGACCAGTTCCTTAAACTCCCTAATCCTGTTTGATAATTACTGCAATGGGAATGATAATGAGTTCTACCTGATTTTTGTGTTTGTGTGAGTATTTAATGAGAGATCAATCTATAAAGCAGTAGCAATGTGTTTTGAAAAGGAAATAGCACTGTACATATGTAAGATCTTTTGACTTATATACGGAAATAATCAGTAGAACCTGCAGACTGTCTTGAGAAGATGATGCAAGAGTCAGAATCTCCTCAATTTACCTCTTCTGATGTATTAACTGTTACAGTGTGAAAACATAGGTTGAACCAGATCCTCTTCCACTTAAATAATGGTATTTCACAGAAAATGGCCTGGGTTCCCCAGTATGCTGTGGTCACCAAATTCAAAAAATGATTTCTTTCAATACTTATGGTCCCCTGGTACCTTAAGTCTCCTTTATAGGAAGTGTCCACAGTTTAATATTGCAGGCCTGGTGGGATTGCCAATTCTCTGCTCATTTTCACATGCTTTATATATGTTGTTTTTTGTTGTAGTGTGCCCTTGAGTCAATTTTCATCTTGTAACAACCCCATGGGACTGAGTAGAACTGCACCATAGGGTTTTCTTGGCTGTAATCTTTACAGAAGTAGATTGCCAGGTCTTCCTCTTGTGGAGACACTAGATGGGTTCAAACCATCAACCCTACAGTTGACACCCAAGAGCTTAACCATGGTACCACCAGAGCACCTTCCGTTAAGTATATCAGAAGCTGTTTAGTTTGTTTGGGTGAGAACTTCTCATTTATTTCCACTAGTAAGGCTTCCATTCATATACAAAAAGGCACACCAGTATTAGACAACTGGGGACTGATAGTGTATTTGTGGCATACCTGCAGGGCAGCATAGTATCAAGGGAGAATGTGGAATTTACCTTTTTTTTTTAGGGCAAGCCCTAGTAGAATCATTTATAAAAATGAGGATGAAGCAATGGATGTTAAAGGACTCTTTGAAGGTCTTCTAGATACTTTCTTTTCATTGCCATATGCTTAGCACAATGCACATGCTCAGTGATTGTTAGCTCCCAGTAGAGGCAAGCTCCATACAAAGAAATAGTTGGGTAAATTGAGAAGTATGTGATTAAATGCCAAAATAAATCATACAGTGATTGCTTACAAATGCTGAAAAAGGGAAGACAGTGGCTAGAAGTAAAAGAATTGAGGGTCTGTGTAAGTTAGAATGGCTGTTCTGAAGGTAAGGAAGCAAATGCTATGGACAGTTTGTCCTATATCTGTTTTCAGGGGAAGAGTCGGGGAATTCTGAGATAGTATCAAATGCCCTGGCTTCTGCACCCAACTGAGATCACTGTTTAGGACCATTTGCATCAAACCAGTGGTTCTCAGACTTCAGCATTCATCAGAATCATCCAGAGGGGTTGCTGAGCCCACCACCGGAATTTCTTTCGTCTGGGGTGTGAACAATAATTTTGATTTCTAATAAGTGATGCTGAAGCATTTCTAACAGATGACAGGTGATGCTGATGCTGGGGGTCAAGGGACCAAACTTTAAGATCCACTGCTTTACACAGATTCTTATTGGCCTTCTTATTTTTTATTTTATTTTTTTCCTATTTCAACACAGAGAGCTCAAGAGGATGAATTGGTTAAAATAAGAAAGTATTATGAGACATCCAAAGAAGAAGAACTGAAACTTCTGGATAAACCTGAACAGTAAGGACACTTGACCAATAGTTTTCTCTTACACCAAAGGGAGAACTGCAGTCTGTACCTTCCTGCCTCCCAGCCTGGAATAACCAAGCCTAAATTGCCCAGTGAGCTAAGTCTCAACACGTCATGCCTGTGACCTATTGCACACAGCAGCATGACCCGGCTGCCAGGAAAAGCAGCACTGAGATTTGTGCTTCTGGATACAATATCTCACCCCCTTCCTCCACCCCCTCACAGCTCCCCTTTCTTGTTCTAGCAACTTGTTAATTCCTCCTAGACTAAACATTTTGGCCAAAAGGGTAACCGAGGAAGGGAGAAGGCATTGCTCTGTTTAAGGTTCTGCTGATGTAGTTAAAAAGATGACATCAGAGTCACAGAATTCAAATTAATTTTCCTAAATGCCCTATCCAGTAAATGCAGCCTGAATGAGCCAGCTTTCCCCCAAATTGCTTCACCTGACTGCCCAATTTAGATGTGATTTTTTAATCCTCCTTTTGCATGTGCTTGTTCTTGTCTCCGTTCTCTGCTTAGATTTGGTTCCACTATAGTTTGAGGTGTCATTCCACCCCCTTCATAACCCGAGAACTCTACAGCATAGCTGAGTTACTCTTGTCCTTGGCCGGACTCCCTAGAGTTTGTGATCCATAGAGTAGCCCCACAGTCCCACCCAGCTTTTTAGGACCCAGAACTCTATAAGAATTAGAAGGGCCCCAGAGAGACCAGATGACTCCTTTGCCTCTTGTGGCCTTGAATGCTTCCTGTCCAATTCAAGTCACCCCTTTCAACCTGGAGATGAGGCAAGGTGGTGGAAAACATGGAAGAAATTGAGTGATTAGGTTCAAGGTACCATGCTAGCCCTAGAGTTGTTCTGTCTGAGGTTATACAGATTGCACTCAAACCTTCACACCTTGCCCTTGGAACTTCTAGAACTGTCCCACTCCCAGTGGAGGCCTAGACATCATGCCCAGGAAGACATTTCTAAGTAACTAGTTGGGGTAGTGTCTAGGTTTACTCAGTTATTGACAAACCTTCATGGTAATGTTGGGAGCCTAAGATAAGTTGTTCTCACATGGAGTATGATACAGAAACCACCCCCTTCCACTATTTCATGGCTTAGGAGTCTTGTGACTCATTGTAAATGGGGTTTATGTGCCCTTCCATTCAATTGATTCAAACCTTTCTCCTACCAACTCCCACCCCTACCAATCTTGTGTTCCATTCCCAAGTCATGTTTTCTAATATAATAAGTTAATTCCTGCTAACATTCTAATAAAGAAATCCTTGTGGTGCAGTGGTTAGCAAACTGAAAGGTTGGCAGTTTGAACCCAACTGCCACTCGATGGGAGAAAGATGTGACAGTCTGCTTCTATAAAGATTTACAGCCTTTGAAACTCTATGGGGGCAGTTCTACTCTGTTCTATAGGGTTTTTATGAGTCAGAATCGGCTCAGTGGCAATGGGTTTTGGAATGTGCTAATAACTTATAATGATGTGACTAATAATGGGATATTTGGACACTGACTAGCCATTTTGGGGTATTTGGGGATAGTTGGGCCTATCAAGCATTTCATTAGTGCCAGCTCTATCAAGTTGGGCAGTTGTACTCTAAGCCAGCAGTTGGCAGACTTTCTTTTTAAAGGGTCAGATAATATATGTAATACATGTTTTAGACTTTGTAGGTCATACAGTCTGTCACAACTGTCAGCCCTGCCATTATTTTACAAAAGAAACCATAGACAATACATAAAGAAATAAGCATGACAGTGCTCCAATAAAACTTTATATATGGACGCTAAAATTAGAATTTCATATCATTTTCACACATCATAAAATATTATCTTCCTATTGATTTTTTTCTCCTAACCCTTTAAAAGTGCAGAACCCATTCTTATTCCCAGTCTGTACAAAAACACTTGGTTGGCTTAGATTTGGATTTGGGCTGTAGTTTGCCAGTTACTGCTTTTAGCTGTGGGAGTGGCAGGCACAGTGAAATAAACAGTGAGAGAGACATCATTGTTTCTGCTACTGAAAGTATTCCCCTTTTCCTTTTGTATTATTGTCTTTGTAGCATTAATTTTCAAGATTAATTACCAAGGCAAAGAATAGTAGTGGCAAGTAATTAAAGACTATTATTATTGTTTTCGCTACTGATGATCTTGACAGAAAATTGGTTTTAAAGTTTGTAATGGTCATCATGATGGCTTCCTGAACACATAAATGTATAACTGACAGCAGAGAAGACTCATGAGTTGCACTGGTGAGGTGATGTACTTGGGTCCAATCACATGGAATAAATGTCACCTTTGCTACACAGTGAAACATTTGTTTGACTTATACCAGAGTCTGATTCTCTGGCAATTTATTTGCCATTAGCTCCAATGAGTCGACTATATGCGTGTTTTACATACTGGAAAATATGAATCATTTATAGTCTTAGCATTGCAATTTCCTGAGTCCTGCAGTGCCCGGACCTATAAATCATAGCATGGAGAGGCTGGCCTCATCACTCACCTCATCAGCTCTCTTACACCCCAGTGCCAGATTTAGAAAACCATTTCCCACAGAGGTGCCATGTGCTTAGGACTAGCCTGACAGAGAGTCACCTCCTGCAGGGATGGTCCTCAACTCTCTTTGTACCATGCTTTGTGTTGGTGGTGAGGCAAAGCAAGATTCTACTGGTTTTGGTTAGGTTTGGTGCATGCCCATTGGGTTACTCCCTTAGGGTCCACAGCTGCCCTGGGGCCCCCACAAAGAAGACACATTGACTTGTGAAACAAGGCTTGGTTAGTGTACTCTTCCATGGAAGGACATAGGTTACAACTGAAGTCACACTGTGTACAAGCCTTGACTAAAAAGACACACCTGAGATGATACCATTCAGGAGAGTAGGGAATGATAAACCATGTGTTATTTCCTCAAAAACAGGGGGTTACTTTGCATCAATCCACTTGTCAGCCAAGGAGCTGCTGTGGAATGTGTAACCCACACAATGTGAGGTGCAGAACTTTTCTCATATGTGCAGGCTGAAGTTACAGTGCTTCCTAGGAAAATCTCTCTGCATTGGAAAAAGAAGGGAATGATTCTGCATTTGTGGCTTCTTTGGGGGGTATGTAGGCCTCTCTACTACTGACTGTAGGATATAAAGCAAACTAGCCCAAGGAAAATAATCTGTAAATATTTATATGTTCCAAGGCCCTATGCTTAGGGATATTTAAAAGAATATCTCTGTCCATAGGGTAGAGTTTAAAACACAGATGGGGAGACAAGATGCTTATCAGACCCTTGCTTCATAGCCTTTGAGGTAATCTATGCTTCTGAGACTTTCCCAGATAAACATCTGCAAGCCCTTGCATGGCTTTTGTAGACAAAAATGATGTAAAGTCATATTTTTCCAAATTTGTTTCTCCAGTATTTCGTATCTTCCAAGCCAGAAACCTACAGGTCATCTTAGACTCTTCCCAACAGCTTGTGATTGATTGTTACTCTGTATCTTATGCCTCAATAGCTTCCTCATCCATTTGCTTCTCTCCGTTCACCCTGTTGGCCTTCCTACCTTACCTCTTGGAATATTGCAGCAGAGGTCTAATAGGTCTCCCAGACTCAAATCTGTCACCAACTCCAGTCAGTCAGCCAAGCCACTGCCATGGTTATTTCTAAAACAAAAACGTATCACTCCTGTTCTTAAAACCCTTCATTCATTCCGAAAAATTTAAAACTCCTTATTTTAGAATACAAAACCCTTTTAGCATCTGACTGTTACTCACTGTTCCCACAAATACCATTCAACCTGCCTGAGCACTGCTCAGCAGTTTCTCACACTTGTCACACACAAGAATCACAGGGCTTCAGGAAGCCTTGGCTAACATCTTCCCTCCCAGGTTCCAACTTAAATGCTCATGTATGGCTACTATAGCTCCCATTATAGACTCCATCACTGATACCACTTACCACTCTCCAAAGTAATCATTAGTTTATTTTTCAGGTTTCCATGAAGGGATTGTGCATTAGTTAGAATTATGTTCCCAGGTCTTACCATAGTACCTGACACTTGGTAAATGCTTCATAAATGTTTAACGGTCTGAATGAAACTCCTGAAGACTGATGCTCTCTAGAACAGTTTTCAATGGCACATTTCCTACAGTTCTATACAAAAGTAATGTAAAATTCCTGAAATTTCCTTCCCCTCTGTTAAGTTGTTAATAGTTATGGTTGTATGTCAACTTGGCTGGGCCATGATTTTGAGTGGCTGGCAGCTGTGATGTAGTAATTCCTCCTAATGAGACTGGATGTGCTGTAATCATCTCCATGGTAGATCTACTGTGATCAGTTAATTAGTGGAAGAGGTGTTGCCTTCAGGGTGTGGCCTGCCTGCAGTAAATATAGAAAGGATCCTGCATTTGGTTTGTGATGCATCATCTCCAGTTCCTAGACTTGAACCAGTGGCCTGCTGTGTTGTCTGCCAATCTTGAGATTGTTGCCCAGACAGCCTATTAGCCAACAATCTTAGATTCAGAAGCCAGCAGCTCCTTGAGTCAGGAGAAGCCTCCAGCTTGCTCCGGTGGGCTGGGATAAAAGGCAGAGTTGAAGCTCAAGGTCAGGGGGCTTCTACCTCGCCCCTACAGCCTGCAGCTCTGAACTTAGACTTCTAGCCTAGTCTTTCCCTAGAGCTCACACTCTGAATCCAGGCTTCTAGCCTCCTAAACTGTGAGAGAATAAATTTCTCTTTGTTAAAGCCATCCACTTGTGTAGTTTGTTACAAAACTAACAAACTAGATGGAGTGTATACTAGAGAACAGAAGTGTCTTAGTTCTCTAGTGCTGCTATAACAGAAGTACCAGAAATGGATGACTTTAACAAACAGAAATTTATTATCTCATAGTTTACGAAGCTAGAAGTTCAAATTCAGGGCCCTGGCTCTAGGGAAAGGCTTTTACTTTCTGTCAGCCCTGGAGGAAGGTCTTGATCTTTCAACATCTATGAGCTGGCGTTCCTTGGAGCTCTCCATGTATCTTTGTATCAATATTCCCCTGGATCTAGGAGGTTCTCAGCACAGGGACCCCAGATCCAAAGGATGCACCCCACTACTGGCTGCTCTTTCTTGCTAGGAGGCAGGTCCCTTTGTCTCTGTTCACTTTTTTCTCCCTTTATCTCTTGTAAGATAAAAGGTGATACAGGCCACACCCCAGAGAAACTCCCCTTACATAGGATCAGGGCTATGACCTGAATAAAGGGGGTTACATCCCATGCTAATCCACTTACAAGTGATTGGTTGATCACATCAAATCACATATTAGGGGGTGATTACATCATTACAGAACTGCCTAACCATTTAACAGTCAAATTGACACATTTTTTGGGGGGGACATAATTCAAACCATGATACCCTTCACCTGTGGATCTGTGTTTCTGACCCTTCTCTGTGCAGAGAACATTGTGATTTAAGATCCCCCAAGAGCCTACCCAATGCAGATTCCAGTCCCAGTAATGCTTTAACCTTGCAGTCCTGCCCATTTTGCTTTTTCCTGAACAGCATACATTGGTGAACCTGTGGTACTGTCTCTTCATATTGGTCCTAAACCTTCTGTTTTGATATTAGTTATAAGTTATTATGCATCCAGTATATCTTCTTTTTTATCTCTGCCTTTCCTCATGAGTTGAGGTACTGATCTGTATCTTTTTTTCTAGCCATCTCAGGAAAAGCTTCCCTCACTGGGTCCATTTTAACTGAGAAGCATATGTACATTTAGGTTCTACTTCTACTTGGGCAGTGGTGTCTTATGGCCACATTTGGAAGGAGGAAAATCCAGGGAGCTACCTTCAAAGCAGCAATTAGCAGTAACTGAATAAATAAGTGTAAGACCAATTGCTACTGACTCCATGAGCTTTTTATTTCTCTTATATTTGTGAAAACTGGTGATGACACTTTCAGTCACAGTGAATAGTTGTTTTAATACTCTTTTTTATGATAAAAAAAAGTATACATAGAGAATTTTTTTTTTTTTACTTTTTTTTTTGCTGTTGTGATTTGGGTGAAAGTTTACAGAGCAAATTCACTTTCCATACAGCAGTTCACATACACTTTGTCTGATGACATTGACTACAATTTACCCCAATGCAACAGCTCCTCTCCTACTTCCTCCCAATAGTTACCTCTTCCCTGTGTCCTTCAATCCATGCACTCCTGCCCCCTGAGCTGTCTCTCTGTGCATACACAACCCTTCCATTCTCGCATGATTGTCCTCTCCAAGGAGTATATCTACCTCAGATAAATGTTCAACTCATATGCTTGTCTTTTGTTTAGCTGGAAGCCACAGGAGTGAGTTCAGTTCCAGAGCTGAAGGGCAGCTACAGGCCATAGTCTCAGTGGTTCCACCAGGCTCCATCAGAGCAGCAAACCTGGCCCTGCCCCTTTTTTCACTCCCCAAATGATTATGAGTTTTGTTCCACATTGTTCTCCCTCTCTATCCAGGATCTCCTACATAGATCCCCCTCCAAGTGGTTGAGAGTCGTAGCCAGGCACCATCTAGTTCTTCTGGTCTCATAGTTATATAGGCTGCGGATCACATGGTGTACCAGTCACTAGGACTAAGTGTTTCCATGAATCTTTGGTTTTCTTCTTCTTTGCTCTGGATGAGGAAGGACCCATCATTGCATCTAGATGGCTGCTTGCAAGCTTTTAAGATCCCAGTCGCTACTCCCCAAAGTAGGAGGTGGAGCAATGTTTTTTATAGTATGTTATGCCAATTGAGCTTGATGCCCCCTGCGACTATGGTCCTGAGCCCACAGGTTCAACTACTCAGACCCTCTGTGTAGCTGGCTGTTCCCAAGAAGTGACTACAACCTTGTCCCTTGTCAGCTCTACTATACCCCTGGGAATTTTTACAGAACATTACAAATACACTTGTAGAACCATTGTCTGCCAACTCTATACATGGTCTTGGGTGCACTCCCCACTGCATAGACATACCTAATAGTTCAACCTGTCCACCCATCTATCCACCCTTATACCCATGTTTGCCTTCACTGACAACTCAGTATTGTATGTGCAAAAGGGTTTGTCTTTGTTGTCTGTACCTCCTATGTACCTCTCTGTGTCTTCGTTTTCCTCAGTGCCACCATGTTGATCCCTCACATTTGGTACATTGCCCTTCTCTTCACCCAAATCAATCCTTATCTCTACCTATCTAACAGTGTTCCCTACCCTACCCTCACACCCCTAGTAACCAACAAAGAAAATTTCCTTCCGTAGATAAACCTTTCCTTGACTTTTACAATAATGGACTGATATAATATTTGTCCTTCTGTGATTGACTTATTTTACTCAGCATAATGTCCTCCAAGTTCATCCACGTTACGTGCTGTTTCACAGATTCTAGGTTATTCTTTAGGGTTGCATAGTATTCCATTGTGTATATGTACCATAGTTTGGTTATCCGTTCCCCCATTGATGGGTATCTAGGTTGTTCCCATCTTTTGGCTGTTGTAAATAGTGCTACGATGAACATGGGTGTGCATATGTCTGTTCTTGTCCTGCCTCTCACTTCTTTAGGATATATACCTAGTAATAGAATGGCCGGGTCAAATGGTATTTCTAATTCCAACTTTTAAAGGAATCACCATATTGCTTTCCACAGTGGTTGTGTCATTTTACAGTCCCACCTGCAGTGTAGGAGAGTCCCAATCTCTGTGCATCCTCATCAGCATTTGTTATTTTCTGTCTTGTTGAACTTTGCTACTAATGCTGGGACAAGATGGTATCTCGTTGTTTTGATTTGATATCTTACATAGAGAAATTTTATATATATATATATTTGGAAGGAAGAATGGGCAATCTACTTCTGTAGAGAGATTGCCTTGGAAACCCAAGAAGGGGTCACTATGAGTTGGAATCAACTTGATGGCAGTGAGTTGTGTTTGTGTGTGTGTGTGTGTGTGTGTGTAAAATCTTGGCCTAATACTGCATTCCTATGGGTTTCTCTTTTCATATTACATCACATGATTTCCATACTAGAGCTATAGAACTTTAAAATGAGGGTATATTTTCTTTTATTTCTTGTTTCACCTAAATATCTTAAAAGAAAAAAAAAAATTATTATGACCTGATTGTAGTGACACCCTATAGGACGGAGTAGAGCAGCTCCATCGAGTTTCCAAGGCTGTAATCTTTACAAAGGAAGACTGCCACATCTTTTTCCCAGGGTGTGACTGGTGTATTCCAACTGCTTAACTTTCTATTAGCAGCCAAGCACTTAACCATTGCACCGCCAGTGCTCCTAGTATAAGGGAGGAAAACAGCTGATCATTAGAAATTAATTAAAACTCAAATCTTCCTATAGATAAAGAGGCATAGATTATGAACCAAGGAAATTTCTTTGGATATGAAAAGAAGGTTGTTTCCAACTTTGCTTCTGTATAAAAGCATTCTTGGTGAGAAATTGCAAAATGTCAGAGGAATGATATTATGCGTTGACCAAGACTTTCAGAAATATCAGTTAGTCATCTCAACTCTAAAATGAAATTAATGGCTGTTAGTTGATTCTCTCCTTTGCTGAATTCATGTCCAACTGTTTCCACCAATTTTAGTTTATACCCCTTCCTCTGATAGTTGGACTGGAGAGTATGTAGTTGTTCCAACTTAATTTTGCAAAAGGCACCAGTGTCCAACTACTCAGACAGTGAGCTACTGTGTGCAAGTCAGTGCCCACGTTTAGCTTTTAAGATCTAGCTTTCCATGATTTCTAAGGAACTTTAGATTGTGTCCACTTACTGAGTGCCTGCTTTGTTTCAAGCACTAAGCTAGGAACTGTGTCTATACAACTAAGTTGAAGTAGGAAAATAAACAAATATCTGGGAAATTTGATCATTATAGACTGTTATCTTATTCATTAAGTTATAGTTATCATTAGCAGCAGCATCTCACTTCAGTAAGAGATTTTATTATTATTATTATTATTATTATTATTATTATCATCACTTAGCTGTAGACATTTGCCTCAAGTGTTGACTTTACTTATCCTGTAAAAATATATCCTTAGAGACTACTGCATTATTAAGAAAGCTTATTATGTAATTTTTTTCATATATTGAAGACTAGGGGAGCAGGGGATAAGTTTTAGTGCTTCAGTATATTTGCATTAACTTTCTGTTCCTGAAATAAGTTATGCTCATCTATTTTTACTCCATCATGGAAACCCATGAAAAAGTGCCTTTGTTGTTAACCTGACATATATCCTCAAAGTTTCATGACTCTTCCTATCTAATACCTTTTGTTTTTTCAGCTGTTCTTTTATTTTTCTTGAGAGTGTATATGAAGCTACATGATTCATTCTTATCTTTACAGATTTTTACACGAGTTAGCCCAGATCCCAAATTTTGCTGAACGTGCCCAGTGTATAATCTTCAGATCTGTCTTTTCTGAAGGTATCACCTCCTTGCACCGAAAGGTAGAAATCATCACAAGAGCGTCTAAGGTATGTTTGTTGTTTAATTTAAAAGATAGCTTTGCCATTATTGAGGGCAAAGGAGGAAGTAGGGAGGGGTGACAGACCAAATAGAGTCAGTCCCCTGTAGAAAACCTTCTGAACTTAAGATTGTATGTTTTTCTAAGTGTAATTGTAATGGTTATCCTGCCCAAGAGTGAGAATGAGTGAGTGCATGGGAGAGAGAGAGAAAAGGAGATGAAGAAGAGAGAGGGAAAAATGACACTTCAAGAGATTTCTTCTTGAATATTCCAGACACCGTACCAATGTACATTCTACCTCTTAAATCAATGCATGTTGTCTAGCTTGTTCTCTGGATTGCAAAAGAGATTTTGAATTAGACTGATACATTTGATCATTTGAGATGTATCTACATGGAAAAATAAATGATTCTAGAGAACTGATAAGTGAAATTATGGTCACGAGTGATTGGCAAAGAATATTTTGTTGGCTCTACTACATCAGCATTTATTATAAAGTTAATTCTAAGATTTGGCTTTGCCTCACTATGACCCATTTCCTTAAGAATATGGTGTTCTTCTCCCAAAATGTTGTGGTATTTAGTTGCTTTTCTAGAGGCATGATATTGCTTTTTCTCTAAAATATTAGAGATTTCAAAAAATAAATCATAAATATTAATAAAGTATAATAAATGCCCCTTCACTGTGCCCTGAAAGGGAAGAGCTTCAGTCTTCCTAGAGCCAAATTTTGCTTTCCTTTTTTTTCTGAAATAAAATCAACCAAAACCATAAGGGAAATTGGGGTCAGGGAGAATTCCAATTTGAAAATAAGCACTTGGAATAAAAAAATGAGAGGGAAAACAAATGAGATTGGGAGCTAAAGAAAAGTCTAAGCAGCTTGAAATTGTAAAAGTTAATAGACATAACAGCAACACTTAATAAACATAGCTTGTGGCCTTAAAATACATTATAGTTCTTTCCTAAAGATTATACCAGCGAGAAGGAAGAATATACCTACTATGATTATCTATCTTACATTTAACTAGCCTATTCATACATGTACATAGTCTGAAAGCAGGTTCATAAATCATACTAAACCACTTTCTACTTAGATGTCAGTAAAGCTTGATTAAGCCTACATAGAACAAACCCTTTTTTTTTTTTTCAATTTCTGAATACTTTTAAATAACTATTTAAAAGATAAAACTGTCTCAGATGGAACTCTGAGTTTGGATATTTAATCTTCAATATTAAAACATGTACTTTTTCTAATTCATTTAATGGGTAGGAAATAATGGCTGTTGATGTATTTTTTGACACTTAATGGCTTGGTATTTTCTGTAAGACTGCTGCAGCCTCTGGGCACTTAATAAATGTTTATTGTTGAATGAACATAGGTATATTGTCATTTGGAATTTGATGCCACAATAATTGGTATTTGTTGTCACAGGGTTTGCTACACATGAAGAGTGTGAAGGATATTTTAGCTCTCATTCTAGCTTTTGGAAATTATATGAATGGAGGAAATAGGACTCGGGGACAAGCAGATGGATATAGCTTAGAAATCCTGCCCAAGCTCAAGGATGTCAAAAGTCGGGTTAAGTATTTATTTATTTTTTATAATGGGTGTTTAATGAGCTATTCTTATTTTCCTTTTATACTTTAATAACAAAAAACACTCTAAATTGTTAAGTTTACAGTCTTTTTTTTTTTTTTTTCATTTTACATCTTATCTTTGATGGCAAAATCTCCACCCTCTATTTGCTCTAAAGTACAATTAGATGTTTAACTGCCACTGTAATGAGTACAGAAAACAGCATAGAACAATGTTCACTGTAATGCAAAGGTTGAGTCTGTTTGAATTTAGCATTGACTACTTGTAATTTACTCATTCCTGAGTGGCAGAGCAACACTGAATTACCCATTGAGCTGAGCATTGGAATTATTCTTTTGCCCACAACAATTGGGCTAGGGTCTACTGTCAAACTCTCTGAGCCTGATTATCATTTGGCTCCACACCCCTGCAGAGCTACTTCTTTAGAAACAACCAGCCCATATCTAGGCATCCCGTGGGGGCAGAAGGGGGAGGGGAAGGAAACACAGGCAAATTAGAATTAGACCCATGTGAACAAGACACAAAGGCTGTCTTGTGGGAGAGCCTGCTCGCCTCTGGCCTCCCAGGGTCATAAAGTGGCATAGCGTTCCTTTTAAGCCTCCCTGATTTTTTTTCACGCCATTAAGAACACACATTTTTTTTTAAAGTTGTGAAGAGAGGGATGGTTTTCTATTCTAGTCCTTGGCTCTTTTTAGCCCTCCCCACCATCTTCTTTCTAGACTTTATGCAAGAAAATATTAGAGGACAATTTTTGTTTGTTTGTTTTAGCCACTGTTTCTGAGGTCTTATGAATTATCTGTTTCTCTTTTCCATACAGGGTGGTATAGTATCACTTTTTTCTGTAAATGGCATTTTTAAAAAAATGGATAGGAAAAGGAGGAAGATCTTGCTAGTTTCAAACAGAATTAGGAACAGGTATCACAAATTAGCAGTATCATATCATACTGTTGCTTCAGATCTCAACAATATAGAGCATGCGTGTGTTAATGATTATATATAAATGTGAATGATTTTCATTTGTTTGTTTTCTAAAATTTAGGATACTGGGATTAATCTGGTGGACTATGTTGTGAAGTATTATCTCCGTTACTATGACCAGGTAAGATATGGCATTTTGTGGAAAACTACACTAATTGGATTTCAACTCTTACACATTTTTGGCATTCAGAAGGTAAATGATGGATAGGTGGATGGATGAATTTCAAGTCCAACACAGAATTTGAGAGCTGTCCAGCCTCATTCGTTTACAGATGAGAACATTGAAGCCAAAAGAATTTACTTGACTCTTGTAAAAGGAAGCATTATTCGGTGATACAGGTCTACTGACTCTCAACCCACTATGTAATACTGCTTCATAGAGACCCCAAGTTACCCCAGAACCTTATAACCACATTGTGAGATTCTTTATGAAAATTAGATCCATTCGATAATCAGTTATAGTTGAAACCATATTCTGGGATGTAGAACAAAATTTAGGAAACTACGATGTGGTACCTGGTGGTGCAATGGTTAAACACTCGATTGCTAACTGAAGGGTTGGTAGTTGAACCCACTCAGTGATTCCACAGGAAAAAGACCTGGCAATCTGCTCCCGTAAAGATTGGAGCCAAGAAAACCCTAGGCGGCCCACCTGCTCTGTCACAGGGGTCACTGTGAGTCATAGGCAACTTGGTGGCACCACCACCACCACCAACAACATGATACAGTAATATTGTATCTCTGCTTAGATAACATTTGCATTAGAAACAAAAATTTCTGTCAGAATCTACCTGAGCACACTTTTCTGTGTTTTATTCCTTCTCATTAAGTGGAGGACAAGGAGCCCTAACTTTGAGAAGAAAGAGGTTCTGTTGTAAATTATTGAGAAATACAGCAATAAATATGAATGGAAAAAGTCTCATAGGAAAATATTGTCAAGATTCCTGCTTAACTATCCATATAAGCAGAGTTTTTTCTAGGCACTGAGGGAAGAAAAGTTAAATTGTAATGGCTTTGTTTCTTACAGGCCTACAGTTTTATCTAGAAGACAACCTAAACACTGATGAAAAATAATTGAGAAACTTTAATTTTTCCTACTTCTTGGTGGAATTATCTAATAGTTCTCAGTGTATCTACAACTAGACTTACTGTTTTCCCACTTCCCCCTAAATTTCTTCCTTGTTTCTGTTAAATCAAATAAAACCAAACCCACTGCTATGGAGTTGATTCTGAGTCAGAGACCTACAGGACAGAGTAGAAATGCTCCATAGGATTTCCGAGGCTGTAAATCTTTATGGAAGCAGATTGCCTCATCTTTTTCCTATGGAGTAGCTGGTGTGTTCAAACCACCTACCTTTTGGTTAGTATTTAAATGCTTTAACCACTGCAACACCAGAGAGCCTCTTATTTCTATTAAGAGTCTCACAAGTTTTGGTCATTCAGGCATAAAGCCTTATGTTCCCCTTTAATTCTCTCTGTCTTTATCTAAATTGTTCTGATGTCTTTCCCTTTTTTGCAAGCCTTACTGACCCCACCCAGCTTGTTCAGGCTTTAAGATAGCTCACCTAGTATCTTCCTTTGCCTTGATAATTTTTTGCTGACCTCCCCTATTTATATTGGGACTAGCACAAGAGTTAAAGGAAACAGAGGTGAACACTATTACATTCACAATCCTGCAGTAACAATAATAACAATAACCTATGAGTGAATATATAGATAGACAAATGAGCTGAACAGATGGGAAGGAAAATAAGCCTATACCTATGATAAAACATGGGTTTAACAGAGGATATTTCTATAAATATAGTAGAGTATAAAAGTGGCAAAGTTATGAAAATTTCTTAGCTGTAGCCAAACACCTTGAGGGAATTAATAACTGGCTTTGAGGCTCAGGACTATAGTGATAGGGAACATCAAAATCAGTTGGTGCAACGTAGTTGATAAAAAAAAATGTTCTATATCCTACTTTTGTGGGTAGTAACTGGGGTCTTAAAAGCTTGTGAGTGGCCATCTAAGAGATAACTATTAGTCTCTCCCCATCTGGAGCAAAGAAGAGTGAAGAAAATCAAAGATGCATGGAAACAATTAGTCCAAAGGAGTATTGACCTATGTGAATGCCAACCTCCATGGCCCTGAAACTAGAAAAACTAGATGGTGCTGTGATACCACTACCAACCACTCTACAAGGGGTCACATCCAGAAGGTCCCGGATAGAGTGGGAGAAAAATGTGGAACAAAACTCTGGGTCATAAAAAAGACCAGGCTTACCAGTCCGAGACTCATGGAACCCCTGAGACTGTGACATTTACTCACTCTTCAAGCCTAGAACTGAAGTCATCCCCTTGATTCAACTTTCAGCCCAACAAATAGACAGGTCTGTAAGGTGAAAAATAACACAGGGCTGTACACACTCCTTAGAACAGTCAACCATTTGAGAGCATAAGGGCAGCATTTGCCTAAGGACAAAGTTCAGAAGCAGAAAGGGACAGGAAAGAAGGAGGAATGGAAATAGGAAACACAGGGAGGAAGTGGGATTAGTGATGTTACATTGTGGGGATTGCAGTCACTGGCATGAAACAAAATTAGTATGAATTGTTAAATGGAAAACTGATTCTCTCTGTAACCCTTCACACAAATCACAATTTTTTTAATAAAGTATCTTACCTAGAGAATGGCCATATACTCTCAGCCTATCCTCCCACCTCTAGTTACTCCCCATTCCAGTCCACACATCCTGTGGCCTGATTACTCTTTGTGTGTATAGTTTTGATCATACCACTTTCTCACTCAAAAACAGAAAGGCCTCTCCATTTTTCAGTGAATTAAGACTTTGCCCAGTTTAATTCCAATCTTTTTTTATAATCATGCTTTTACTATTTTCCATCTACCCATATTCTGTGGTCTAACTGAAGACTTGATGGTCTCCAAACACTCCCTGTGCTTCCTTATTAAAGTATTTTTACTTCTGAGGTTCTCCCTACCTAGAACTATCCTTGCCTCTGGTGTTTTTATAAAATCCCTCTTTTTTTTCTAATTAATTCTCTCTGGAAATAATAAATTAAAAGACCT